AGTTAAATAAAATAACTCTAAAAAAAAAAACAAGGTGGTTAGCAGAGGACAGAGATGGCACATCAAAATTCTAAAGAGATGATGAGTGGACATAAAATTTTTCATATTGATATGACAAGGGGATTGTACTTGTGTGCCCAGAAAAAGGTCATGAAAAGGATTTATGTGCAGTAGTAAGGTCTCAGTAGGCCAACAGTCAACAAGGCAGTAAAAAGTGAGGCCAAAGGAGAACAGTCCAGAAATACAAAGAGGTTGCAAGAATGTTTTGAACAGTTGTCCTAACCATATCTACTACTCACAGTCTTATATTTTCCTTTGCTCCTTTAAAAGGTCCAGAGTTTTCAGTTGGGACTTTGATGGTTCTAGGTGCATAAGAGTAGGATAGTTGTTTGTAAACTGGATGTTTATGAGAGACGGAAATAGTCTGTAGTAGAAAAAAAAGATTTCTTCATCTATATAGTGAAGAAATGATATAAAGAAGTGATATCATAAAGCACAGATGAAGTATAGGGTGTAACAGGGTTAAAACACAATGCTTTTGAATCTGATATACATGGGAAGTTTCTAGGTTCAAGTCTAGAAATATCCTTGAGTATACCAGGCATGCATGCCCATGATCCAAGGCTGACTAAAGCTGGGGGGGTAGGTTGCTGTGTCAAGACTCTCTTTCTCTGTGTCTCTCACTCATGGGAGAAATAAATAAATTTTGTTAAAAAAGCATAGGTAAGGGGCCTGCAAGTGGCATGATGGTTAGGGCTCTAGATTCTCACATGGCCAACCATGTTCAAGTCCTAGACCTGTCAGCTTGAAAATCACACCAGGGACTTGTGTGTGTGTGCCCAAAGCTTCATGAGGATAATGGACAGAAGGGATTGTTGCATGGCCATCCATGGAGGGGTGATTTCTCATTTTCCCTTTACCTATCTCTATCTCTCTCCAGAGATCACAGGCACCATATGGCAAAATTAAAAATAAAAAAAATTAAAATAAAGCCTAGATGAAGCATAGAGGATAGAGACTAAATCTTATAACATGGGAAAGCACTTATAATGTAAAACATTTCAAACTACTGAATTGATAGGTGAAAGCGAGTGATTATCAGAGATCTACAAGGAATGGAATAATTTAGGGAAGTGAATAAATGACAGATACTTAGAAAAAACATGGAGAGTCAACTTGGAAATAAAGGTACGAAAAGGGAAATGAGTCAGGCAGTTGAAAAGATATAAGAAGAAATAATGGTCAAAATTAAGTATGGTATTGCATATGCAAGAGAACAGGATTAGTCAAGCTATGAAGAAAGATAAGAATTATTCTTGGAAAGAAAAGAGAAAAAAATGAAAAGGGTGTAGAAAATCCCCACTGATTAGATAATTTAAAGAACAGCTGTTAAAATCTAACGTCAAAAGAACAAAAAAGTACTAAGGCAAAAGAAAATCTTCGATAGTACACAAATAGTGTGTAAATTGTAAAGGTATGTATTACATTTGTAGGATACATAAATAAATGTGAGAAGATTTGAAGAAGAGAATTTTTAAAATGTAATTTCCCAATAAAATGTCTTCTTATTGATAGTATTTGAGGGGAAAGTTTTTTTCCTAAGGATAATGAATTATCGGGTGGTACGTTTTGATTGCAAGTTTTTTCCCTTCAATGTGATTCCTCCACCGGGGTCAGTATTCTTCTAAACTGAACAATAAATATGGTAGCTACAAATGAGTTTGTTCAGCGATGCTGCTTATTTTTAACTGTCTGGAAGTTATTTTTATCCATTTCCTAAGAAGCTCAGTAATTTTCTGATTAATAATCAACAACATTTAATTGAATACTGTCACATGTAGTGGCTAGATACCTGCTCTTGGAAAACAGCAGAGAATATAGAGTAAACATTGGCCGGCCCTGTAGCATAGTAATGAAATGCCATGCACTGGGAGCTGGTTCCCCACATAGCCAGCCTCCATAGCTTGAAAATCATGCTGGGCATCTGTGCATGTGTGTGCCAAATCCTGATAGGATGGAGGCGTGGAGGAAAAAGGATTGTGGTGTATCCACGCCCCATTGGGGGCCCTCTCTCTCTCTACTTCTCTGGTGAGCACACATAGGAACTGGCTAAAAAAAGAAAAAAAAAAGAAAGTGATCATAAGCAGATTCAAGCCCTAGCTCAGTTATGAGTAACTTAAAGCAAAATTGTTGAAATTGTTTCTTTATCTGTTTAAAACTGAAGGCCTTGAACGAAAAGAATTTATATGTCCTCTTAAGTCACTTGAAGGTATGCCTCTAAGGCACTGGTATTACTCTCTAAAAGATCGTGTTTTACTTAATCTGTATAAGTGATTATTAAAATCTTGCCTTTGAGGATGATTTTATGATGCGTAATTGTTCATTAAAATTGATTAACAGGGCCAGCAGGTGTTGTGGTGAAGGTGCTGAACTCTCACATGGCCAGCTGAGGTTCAAGTCCTAGACTTTGTGCCTTGCTTTCTCACTTTCCCTCTCTTTCTCTGTCTCTCTCTGGTGAGTGCACATGTCTTATAGAAAAATTTTTTGAAGTGATAATAATTAAATTAAACATTTAAAAAATTAAAAATTGACAGCCTCAAATAATCCAAAATTTACAGATATATACTAGATAAGAAGAAATACAATAAATGGATTATGACTTTGAAGGCCATATATCTGCTATTATATAGAGAAACTATTTGGATATCATTTAAAATTTTTAAACAAAGAAATTATATAACTAACATGCAGTTACTATATTATATTAATAATTAGTATGTAAGTATATGTTAGAAATTTAATTGTATATTAATAATAGCTAATTAATATTTTAAATAACCCATTAGTATTAATCATAGCTATTTGGAGATGCATTATGATTTGACTGAGAAGATGAATGGCAGGGGGGAACCTCCTTGGGTGTTAGAAATATTGTATATTAGCTCTAGATGGTGATAACATGTATAAAAGTTCACTAAGCTATACATGCAAGATCTGTGTACTTTATAGCATATGTTATATTTCCAAACAGATAGTAGATGTCATGTAAACAGACTTCCAGGGTCAATTGGATTTTCATTTTTCTTCCAGATATTTTTATATGCTTTTATTGTCCTTTGAATATTAGGTATTTCAGCAGTAAACACATAAACATCATAATTCAAACTCTGGCAAGGTGGCAGACTTTTTTCTTTTACTATATATTTGTTTACAAGAAACTCCACTTCTTTTGTTCAAAGAATTATTTTATTTTAACTTTATTTATTTATTTACTTACTTATTTATTTATTTTAACTTGACCAGAGAGGGACAGAGCAAGAGAGAGAAAAAGCAAGTCTTCAGGTCCAGGACTTGAATCGTGGTCAACCATGTGGGAGTCCAGTACCCTTAACTACCATTCCATCTACCAACCTCAAGAATCTCCATTTCTTACATACCCAATCCCTAACAATTGGACATTTAGGTAGCCTCTAATTTTTTTGTTATCATTACTCCTTGTATGTAAATTTTTCTGCATATCATTAATTATTTACTGAAGATAGATTCAGTGACTTGAAGAGGAGATGATATGCAAACCATGGGCCAGCATTTAACTAGAAGTTAAATGGGACACAATGTGTCTCAGAAAAAGACTTTGATCAAACACTGTTTAGACCACTTGGACCATCTTAGAATAAAAGGCTCAGAATGTAACATTAGCTCATCTTTTAAAAATATTGGCACTTAGAGTAGCCCAAGGAGAAAAGTGAACATCCAGAGAGTTTGCTTTTTCTAAGCACCCTCAGGTCAAATTTCTCTCTCAAGAAACTCAATCTCAGTCTTTAAATTTTAAAGAATAAAACATAGATTGGGAGGCTTGTCTAAAATCTTAGAAATTTTAGAAAATGGTGATCTAAAGTCTGATAAAAATTCATCTCTCATTATTAGCTATTTTATGATTCATAAATCAAGATCCAAACCCTTTTGATTTGGGCTACTTTGTATAGGCAATATATATATATATTTTTTTTTTTTTTGGAGAGATTTTCACTGTAGGGCGCGTGCGCTCGCCAGACAGACAGAGAGAGACATAGAGACAGAAAGCGAGAAATCATCCCCCAGGGGGGATGGTCACGCCGCAATCCCTTCTCCTCCATTCTCCTCTCGGGATCTTGGGCACACACGCACACGCGCCCAGCGTGAGTTTTAAGCCACCGGGTCCGGGACACGAACCGCGGTCGACTACGTGGGAGTCCAGCAACATAGCCATTACGCTAACTGCTGGTTCCCTATAGGCAATATTTTTATACTTGTATGCAGGTGTGTTTAATGTTAGACCAGCTTTCTTTCTGCCCTTCGAACACCCATTCCTTTTGTTTTCTAGAACATATATTTTGGTTGGCAGCAGCAAGTAGAAGCTCAGACTCCCTTTGTGTTTTTCTAACCTCTCAGCACAATAGTGTAGACCTTTGTTTGTGAATACAATATTATAGGATATGCCTATTTTCAGTTGAAATCCAGTTCATCTGTTATAATTTAGTGATGTCCTAAGCTTTCACTTCCATTCCTGGACCTTAAGATGACTTCAGATTTTGGCTGAGCTTCACGGTTCCAATGTCCACAGACAGATCCATATTTACTTATTCACCCTACTCAGTTGGGCTGTCTCCCGCAGTTTCTGGGACATGAAAAATATCCAAACTGGCAAACTTCAGAAAGAACAGGCATTTTTTTTTCAAGGCATATTTTGCTTCATTGTGACAAAAGGCCAACCTGTTCCTCTGTTTAAAATATGCAATGGAGTTATTTTAGCTTCTGAAATTTTCCATGCTGAGTAAGCATTTATATTGAGAAAAAGAGGGGGGAAAGAAGAATCCTATCAAATCTCCTTAGCTTAGTAATTGTAGGTGCTCTGAGGTCTAGAGCATGAGTCTGGATCCTTACAAACTTCACCTGGATAAATGCTTAGAATACCAGTAGCCAAGCTTACACCTCTCTCTTCTCCACAATAAAACTTACAGGAGGCGATTCTTCTCTGTAGATACCAAACAGCCCCAGAAGAAAAGATGAACAGATGCCAGCATTTAGAGGTCCACCTGGGGATGAAATCAGCTTGAAGTCTCCTCACACTGAAGCTTTCTGGATACCAATCTTTTCTGTACCTGGTATTTACATTTAGAGAGTTCTTGCCATATCCTTTAATATGAATGGGAAACCAAAGAATGAGACATTTGAGTAAAGCCTCAAACATGAATGACAGCAGCCAGTGAGGGTGAAGGGCAAGGATGGGAGTTAAGTAAGGAAATGGGAAGCTAGATAGTGCAGTGGTAGAATGTGATGTGCTAGAGGCATTCCCACATGGGAGGTTCCTGGTTCAAGTTGGGAGACCTCCCTGAGTATGCTGGACACGTTTGCCCATGATCATGGACAGTCTGAAGGCTGGAGGCGGATCATGGCATTGAGACACTGTTGGGGGTTCACTTTATCTCAGAAGAAATAAATAAGTAAATGTTTAAGAATAAGAAAATAAAAAGAAATAGATTTGTTGGATAGTAAGAAAACTTAACAATGACTATAAACAGTCTTACCAAAAGGAATCAGTATTACAGTATTACATATAGCAAGAATGGGGCACATTACCAATGGGACAGAGAACAATAAATAGTTTTGAAAATTAAAAATTAGGAACCAAATTCAATAAAAGAGTTAGAAGACAGAGTTAAAAAAAAAGGATTAGGAAACAAGATTAGTTCAAAAGTTTTAACATATGATATAGAAGCTCCAGAAAACAGAGAATTATAAAAAAAGTAAAAACTATAGCAAGATGTATCATTATGGAGATAAAAGACAAAGTATAAGGAGGATAGACTAAAAGTTTACAGAGTAAAAACAGATTCCATACAGTGGATTAAAAATCCCAATGGCATCAGATATCTCAGTAGTGAAATTAGAAGGTCACAAACAAATGAATCACTGCCTTCAATATCCTGAGGGGAAATTATTTTCAACCAGGATTTTGTTCCCAACTAAACTACCAATCAAATGTAAGGATGACTAAAGGTATTTTTAGCTCTTTAAGAATTTAAAAGTTGGACCAGCTCCATGGCCTAGTGGTTAAGGTAGCTGGATCCCACATGGTCAACTGTGTAGTTGGAGTTCCCTACCCAGGGCCTTGAGAAACACAGCAGATACATGTGTGCCCCAAGTCCTAAAGGGTGGGAAAGATGGAGGATAAGAGATTCTGGCATGATCTTGGGGGATGGGTGCTCTCTCTTCTGTCTCCCTGTCTGCTTCTCTCTGTAGAGCATATAAACTCACTAGCAAATAAATAAATATTATCTGCCGTATTTCCTACTGGAGGTATATTACCCAAGACAAGACAAAAAAAAAAAGGAAAGAAACTGGGGATGGAGGGATGGGGGTGGGCATTGAATGCAAGAAATGTGGGATCCAACTCAGAAGTTGGCAAAAGTAAAGGCTGGGATGATGGTGAACCAAAACCAAGAAAGGCAGTAGTGATACAAGCTAAGAAAGTTTCTAGAACAGATTGGAGGGTTTAGGGAAGTAAGTCCCAGAAAAATATAAAACATACGTGTATGAGGGATATATTGGGTGGTTGGAAAAATCATGACCTATTTTGGACAGAAAAGTATCACTATTTTAGACAATCTAATGTATTGCTCGGCATGAAGCAGAGGTGTTAGTATATCTGGAAAACTTAGTACCTGAAAAAGAAAGGAAATAGACTTATTACCACAATGAGATACCAATTCACATGCATTAGAATGGCTGGGATTTTTAACAGCTGACAATCAATTTATTAAAATAATTAAGTATCTTCAGTGGCTCAATATGGATGGAAGTAATCCGTTTAACAATTTCAGGACTGAGTGGGCATCTGAACTGGTCCTTTTACTTTGAGATTCTTTTCCTTTGCACCTCTGATGAAGTCAGTACACACTTTCTCTAGAGATTTTACATTGCAGCTGGTTAAAGTAATTCTAATCTTGTGAATGATCACCTCTGGCTCTACAGGTGTTTTTGCAGTATCTTTGAAAGCCACTGCTGCAGGACCAACAGATGGCATAATGGTTACATCTCTGGACGCCCACATGGTTGACCGTAGTTCAAGTCCTGGACCTGGAGGCTTGAAACTCATGCTGGGTACATGTGTGTGCATGCCCAAAATCCCAAGAAGAGAATGGAGGAGAAGGAATTGTGGCATGGCCATCCCCCCGGTGTGTGTGTGTGTGTGATTTCTTGCTTTCTGTCTCACTCTGTCTTTCTGTTAAGCACATGCACCCCACAGCAAGAAAAAAAAAATCTCTCTCTAAAAACAAATAAAAAAACAGCAATGGCTGCGGCTTCCTGACTGACTTATTCCTTAGGTAGAGCAAACAGCAGTGAGTCGGGGCAGGAGTGGGCTGACCAGAACTCTGAAGCACCTGTGTCCACAACATTCTCAAAAAACAAAATGACTGTCATTAAAAAACAAATAACAGGGCCAAGAGATGGTGTAGTGGTTATGTTGCTGGACTCTCACATGGCCGACCATGGTTCTAGTCCCAGACCTGGTGGCTTGACAAACACTCTGGGCGGCATGTGCATGCGTGCCCAAGATCCTAGGAGAATAGAGGTAAAGGGATTGTGATTTGGCCATCCCCCACAGGGGAGCGGGGGATATGATTTCTCACTTTTCCTCTCACTGTTTCTGTATCTCTATCCCCAGCACGTGTATCCCCTTAGGGGACAAAAAAAAAGAAAAAAGAAAAAAGAAAGAAAGAAAGAAAAAGAAAAATCCTCTAAAAAAAAAAAGGGAAAACAAAACGATTTCACCAGGATGTGGAGAAACTGGAACCTTCATGCATTGCTGGCGGGAAAGTAAAATGGTGCAGCAGCTGTGAAGAGTTATTTGTCAGTTCCCTAAAAAGTTATACATAAAATTATCATGTGATTCAACAAGTTCACTTCTAGGTGAACTTATATCAAAAGAATGCTTCTGCATATATATTAGAAGATATAATCTTCTTTGCTAATTTTTACATTGTTTTGAGAAATAAGACCTTTCTATTTGTTTATTCATTCAGCAAATACTTACTATGTGTTTATCATTTATACTTGATGCTGTGAATGTAGTGCTCTGCAGAGACATGGTCCATACGTTTCTAAAGCTTCCAGTTAAGTGAGGTAGATTACATATGTAAAACACATAAAACAGTGCCTGGCACATTAGTAGATGTTAATAAATATCAATTTTTTAACTGTGATGGCTAATTTTATGTGTCAACCTGACTGGACCACACGTTACCCAGATATTTGGCTAATCATTATTTCTGGGTATGTCTGTAAGCTGTTTCTGGGAGACTTTAGCACCTGAATCAATGGACTGAGTGAAGTCGATTGCCCTTCACAGTGTGAGCAAGCATTATCCAACCCACTAGGAGCCCAGTTAAAACAGGTAGGGGAAAAAGGAAATCCCTTTCTCAGCCTGACTGCCTGAGTAGGATATTGTTTTCTTCCTGCCCTTATACTGGGACTTACACCATTGCCACTCCTAGTTCTTAGGCCTTTATACTTGTGCTAAAAATTATACAATCAGTTTCTTGGTTCTCAGGCCTTTGGACTTGGAGTGGAACCACACGACTGGATGTTTCTGGGTCTCTGGCTTGCAGACAGCAAATTATGGGATTGCTCAGTTCCATAATTGCACAAATTTCTATGACTAAGCTCTCTCTGTCCTTCTCTTTGTAAATATGTAAAACAGAATCAATAGGATAGATGAATGGATGGATGGATGGATAAATAGACAGATCCTATTGGTTCCATTTTTCTGGACCACACTGGCTAACAAATACATTAACTCTTAAAGTAAGAACCCACAGGTTTACTCATGCACCTCTAACTCAGTGTCCAAAATTTAAAAGCTGGGCTTCAGTTACCATCTGGTTCCTTATTTAGTAGGTTTATATTGCCCATATCCATAGCCCTAGTCCATTGCTATCCATACTGTAAGCATGGGAGACATTCTTCTGCTCTGTAATATAAAACTCAAACAAGAGAGCAAGTCACTCAATTTATTTTCCCTAGAGAGCTGGGAAATGCAATTTTATGTCTAGAGAAGAAAGGATTCAAAAGTTTACCAAAGTCCTGGGAACTTAAATTGTAGGCAGGGATAATATTGCTGTTCATCACTGTCTACTTATTTTCTATTTAAAGAGTTTTATCTTCCTAGTAGAGGGGGTTGGTTTAATAGAGTGTCAGGGGAAATGTCTAGTGAATGTATTGATTGACTGTATGATGATAAATGTGGGCAACTTATCTCCTAATCTTCCTCCAGGTTTGCCTAGCTGAGAGTGAATAAAATTATTTTTAATATAGCCAAGACTGTCTTTTCTCTTTTCCTTAAAATTCTAGCACCATACATGTGCCTAAACAACTGTCTTTTTTTTTCCCCCAAAAAAAGAGTATGAATTTTTAGACTGGCACCAGGCAGAAGGTATTTCCATACATGGCACTTTATGCCTGAGTGTAGTTTTATTATTTTAGCTAGGTACAATTAAGTTGTCCCAGGATAGTATTTGAGGAAGCAAACAAAGAAATACATACTCTGTTCATCTATCCAGTATGTCCACATTTTACCAGAGAAGATGGTCATAATACATCAAGGAAAAAAAACAAGGACCCTTATTACCAAGGGTAAGAAAAGATCTCTAAGGCATTCCACATATAGCGTGCAAAACAAAAGCAACCTAAAGGGATAGGAGGAATAAGACTGTTTAAGGAAGCAAATTAATTTTATTTCAGATTCCACTCACCAATATGAAATGTTTCTTAAAGTGTGGTACAGAACGCAGCATTTTAACTGTGCATCTCCTTCCTTTGCTTGCTCGAGACAAATGCAATTCTGAAAAGGTTTTTACTCTGATGCTCTAACAAGAAGTGTACTTCTGTCACATCCAAAGTGAGTGATAATACTCAGGCTATCCATTACTCCATTCAAATAATAGGGTTTGCTTGCTTTTAAGGTCACTTGGGCTATAATGTTGTTATTGTCCTTTCTCCTCCTCATTTTCACAGAAGACCGGTAGAAAAAGAGGGCAAGTACTCATTCATGAGCAAAATACTGCTGTCACCCTTTCCCTACAATCCTGAATCTCCTTGCTAATGACGAGCATGCATGTAACGGTGGTCTTAGTAGGGTTGAAAGCTTAGGTTTCAATATGGATACAACAACACAACATAACAACTAAAATCCATTCCTAGGTATTCTTTATTTAGTTACAAATAAGAGTGGAAGTGGAGCTATCAGGTGGCGTGGTGTTTGAGGCACTGGACTCCCATACGACTGACTATTTGAGTCCCGGACCTGGTGGCTTGCTTTCTCACTTTCCTTCTCTCTTTCTATCTCTCTCTCTCTCTCTGTTTCTCTGGTCAAATAAAATAATAATAATAAATAAATAATTCTTTGGGGCCGGCAGGTGAAGTGGTGGTTAGGGATGCTGGACTCTCACATGACTGACCATGGTTCAAGTCCTGAATCTGGAGGCTTACTTTCTTACTTTTGGTCTCTCTCTTGCTCTGTCCCTCTCTGGTCAAATTAAAAATAAATAGATAAATACCTGGAGGGGGGTGATTTCTCCTTTTCTGTCTCTCTGGCGAGCGCATGCACCTTATAGCATAAACATCTCCAAAAAATAAATAAATAAATAGATAAAGTTAAATAAAAATAATTCTTAAAAAAATAAGAGTGGGAGTACTTAAATAACATTTTCATGTCAAGACTGCTTGAGGTGCTTAAAATAAAAAAATCATAAATTATGTTAAGCACAGTGGTAGAAACATGTTTTCAGGCCAGAATTTTACTAATTTTTTGATCATATGAAATTCTATTAAATAGTAAACCACATCTCCAAAGTTAATAAAAATTCATTCAAATTTGAAAATGAAGAATCATTTCTTTGTAGTTGATATAGGTTAATAGTGTTTTTGTCCCATCACTTTTATATAATGAAATACATAGCCTCAAACTTTACTTTCTGTCTATAATAATTTCTGATGTAAGTTCGATTTTAGTTAACTTCCAGTAATCTTACATGTTTTAGGTTTGAAGTCATGTAAATATCTGTTGTATTGTCTCATTTTCCCAGAAGATTAGTAGAAAAAGAAGAGAAATGTGCAGTATTCATTCACACACAAAAATACTCATCCTAACAATAACCTTTTTATTAAACTGAAATAGTTTGGGACATTCTAGATTAACTGTTAATGTTGTCTTTGGTTTGTTGAAATAACTATAAATTAAACCCAGGATTCCTGGCTTCTAAGTTCAACTCTATGACTGTGTAGCTATGTGACATTGGTCTAGGGACCCTATCTCTGTTTACTTATCTGTCAATGGACCACAGCATCTCTATTATCATATTAAATTTTATCTTGAAATAACTCTTCAAAGCAATGTCCTATGACCTGCTAGTGCTGTCCCTGCCTCATTTTGCCATGTATTTGGAGTCCTTCACATTACTTTGTAGACTTAGAACAAAGCATGTTTGGTTTAATATATTCAACTCCAAGACTTCTTTTCCTAAGAAATGCAACTCTTTGGCGTAAGAGGTCCTCCCAAGGTTTTTATTTTGTAACACTTCATATCTTTAGAAAAGTTCTAGTCATAATACAATAAAGAACCTGACATCATTCATTCAGATTTACCAATTGTTAATATTTTCCCCTGTTCGTTTTCTCTTTATCTTTACTCTCTGTTTTGATTTTATAAGCCTTGTTGTATGTTTGACAATTTATTGTAGGCATCATGACACTTCATTCCTAAATACTATGTATTTGGCATTCATTATCACTAGCATGTGTCTCCTAGGAAAAAGGACATTCTTCTACTTGAGGTATTTAACATTGATTTAATACAATTACCTAAAATATACTCAATATTCAAAATTCCCCAATTGTCCCAATAATGCTCTATAGCTTTAATTTTTTTTTGGTATCCCAGGATTCAATCAAAGATTATCTAATGCATTTAATTTTTCTATCTCTCAACCTTCTCTTGAGGTACAACTTTCTAGCCATTTTCATTTGTTTTCCACAATATTAACCCTATTAAAGAATTCAGACCAGTTGT